GTCACTTTAGGGAACTTATAGGATACTGATGAGTAATTTTCACTTCTCGCAAAGCTGCGTTCCCCTAAGAAGCCAGACTAGAGGAGGGTGGGAGCTGGATTTCAGCTCCAGCACGGAATGATCCCGGTCTCCTCAGGATCTCGCTCGGTATTCCCGGAGCTGGCAGGACCCCGAGGGTTGGCTTGAAACCAGGAGCAAAGCTCCTGGGGCTGCCAGCGCCTTTTTTAGTTCCTGCTAGTCTAGATTCTTCCTGTGCTCACGACGCCGGGTGGGGGAGGGGTGGCACAGAAGACAGTGACAAACAGCTCAGGTTTAGTTCCTGCATCACCAGGCAGAGCATGTACCCGCCGTCAAATCCCTTCACTCCTCTAAGCTTGCTTTCCTTTTTCCTGAAACGGCACTGGCTGGAGACAAAAAGAAGCAAGATGCGGTGTCTGGAGAGCAATACGTGCTCAGGAAAATAGCCTTTGCCTGGGCCTCATCGCCACCCTCCTTCTCCGCGCGGCGGCATTCGGGCCCCCGCTCTGATACAGACTGGAGCTTCTGTCCGCGCGGGGTCGCTGCCCCAGGGGCTGCTGGCGCTTACCCCTAGTGCAGGGGCCCATTGCGACAGCAGTGTTTTAGAATGCTGCAGTCAAGATGTCAGTAAAATGAGAATTCTCTAAAATAGCAGTTTGTTAAGTTCTGAAACGGAATAAGAAGAAAAGTCCTTAAACCTTCCCTGGAGGTAGGTCTTGAAACTGAAAGTGGAGTTGACAAGGAATGGGTTAAATCTCCAGATGTCAGGGCCTCTTTAATCCTGGCTCCTAGTGACTTGGGGACAGTCCCAAAGGCCCTGTCTGTAACAGCAACACTGAGCTTCCAGTGACTGTGAGCAGAACCCTCGAGGCTGAGATTTCTAGTGCTCACGTGCATCACTGGTCTGCTTAGTGAGTTGTGAGTCAGCATGAAAAACCTTCTACCTGCCTCAGTTTCCCTACGTTAGGACTTCCAGAGTCCCACTAAGTGAATGGCGGGCTGTGCCGGCTTGTTCTGAACTAGGTGTCTGTAGAAACATTCCAATGAAAAACATGCTCTGGTAACTGAAGGAGACTCAGCGTGGGGAGAACTCGAGGTGCAGCACAAGGGTGCTGTGGAGCTGTGCGCCCAGGACCGTGTGTGCACGAGGCTGCTGTGGAGCCGTGCGCCCGGGACCGTGTCGCTTTGTCAGGCAGTGCCCCCAGTCAATGCAATAAAAGAGGGAAAATGATTCTTTCCCTGCCTTGCAGAATAGAAAATTGGTGATAAAGAAAAAACACTTCCCAAATCTGGACTAAAAATATGGAAATATCATCCACTAAACTATTGTATATTATGACTAATGACATCTTAAAATAGAGTGTTATGGGAAACACAATGTTTATTGAATATAAATATTCCAATAAAACAATATTAAGATGACAAATTTCAGTAGCAAAAAGCAAACTATTACATATAATATGTATTTACCAAAAAGAAGTATTTTAATAAATATTACAAAACCAATAGATATCAAGTACTGGATCCTCATGAAACTTCTAGGCAAATAAATATGTTTTCTATTTTATGAACTATAGTTTTGTGGTTGTGAAAATGCAGATTTGCTAATCCCTTATAGCTTAAGTCTCCCACAACAATTAGACACTGAACATAAACTTTAAACTGTACCCACATTATATTTTCTCAGTTAAAATTCTATTTTATTTCTCATCCTATGTTCTTTCCAGTCAAAACAATTTTTCTTATTACAGTTGTTCAGAAAAAACTAAAACATCATACATAAACTAAAACAACCCAAACAGTCAAATTTGAAAAATACTATAAATAAAACACTCCTATAGCTTGTAGTCAGTTTTAGTAGTTTTCTCATAAAAATTGTCTCAACTTTTATAATTATAAACTGTGTAAAAATATCAGAATACCAAACATAATATTATACCCATATACTCACCACCAATTAAACCACTGTCTGTATTTGTCCCAATTCTCTCTCATTAGACAGGGCAAGGTTCTCACGTTCTGAGCAGTTCTTATTCAATGCTATTCTTGCTAAATGTTAAAATGGAGCTCAGTATTTTGCTGATGCAGCTGTAAACAGGATACATATAAAGGAAAGGACAGAAAAACTGAAATTATCCTCTGGAGGGTGGACCCCTTGTAGTACAGGCTTCCCCCGATAGGTGAGTGTTCTAGGAACCCATCTGTATCAGTGTACCAGCTGGCGTTGTTGTGAGAAGCTGCATTCGGCCTCAGCAAAATTTTTTGAGATCTCTTTCAATGTGTTTGCCCATTTCATGATGGGTGATTTATGAGTGCACCTGCCCACACCACACTGAGTGTTCAGCACTTTGTGACCCCAAACAGCATGACCCCTGATCTCACCCCTGACAGTGTTTTTTGTTTCCTAGGCTGAGAAAAGTTTCCGAGGGAAATGTTTCATGGATGTGGAAGAGGGGAAACAAAAAATGGTAGAAGCGCTAAAAGGCATCAAAACCGATGAGCTGAAAAACTGTTTCGAAAGGTGGAAAAATGCATCTCAATAGGAGCATTGCATCAAATGGAGAGTGTTTTGAAGGTGACCGACCTTTAAACATGTGAGAGTAAATATACAATGCTTTATAAATAAATTCCAGGGTTTTTGCCGTATAATCATCCGAACAGTGCATATAAGCAATGGTTAAGTTCCCTTCCAGACACAGAGCTTTGGATGCTAATCCCCCATCTCTTTTACCTGCTGCAAGTAAATAAAACCACCGTGGGACGACCAGGTCTTGTTCTTGAATGGGGACCCCAGACAGTGAACCCCTTGAGTGAACTCCTTGGGTTTGGTAGCACTTTTAAAAACAAATATTCTGGGCCCTGGCTGAGTGGCGCAGTTGTTTAGAGTGTCCTCTCGATGCACCAAGGCTGTGGGTTGCTGATTTGGTCGTGGGCCAGGGCACACGCGAAAATCAACCAATGAATGCATACCTGAGGGTACCATAAATTGGTGTTTCTCTCTATCCCTTCCTTCCTCTCTCTAAAAAAGTCAACTGAAAATCATAAAAAACAAATATTATGTATCATTCTCAATGTGTTTTTATACTTTTAATACAGATTAGAGATCTAAAAACCTCATAGTATATTATTTTTGTGTTTTAAAGGACACCTAAATGGTATATTTTGTGACCTTCCTTTGCTCTAAGTCTATTTGCCATCAGGCTGCATATGGGGAACAACAGTCACTGAATACCTAGGCCATTTAGCAGGATATCACTTACACTGAGATAATTAAAGATACAAGAAATGTAACTCATTAGAAAAGTTTACAGCCTAGTTAAAAATGCAAAAATGAAAAACTGGTGAGTAATATTTTTATACTTTACCTCCCATGTGGGTAGAATGGAGTAATTCCCATACAGAATGTGTGTTTAGATAAGAAACTGCGAGCAGCTCTGTAAAAAATACTTGAAGAGGTCAATTTCCTTATGTCCTGTGTCAGAGACCCTGGCCCACTGGGGAGCTGGGGCTCCTGGGCGCGCCTTCAGAGGTGCCCGGATAGTAACGAGGCCAACGGCAGTGGCTAGGAACCGGGAAGGGCTGGGTCGGTGCACGAACCCGGCTCAGGCACTCAGGCACGCTGGATGACCCGCGTAAGACAGAGCAGAGCACTAGAAAGTCTGACCAGGAGGGAGGGTATTTGCAGACTTGCACTTTATGGTGTTCCTGCTACTGGAATATGCAAAATAAGGACATATGCAAATTAGGGCAGTCAGTGTAAAGTAAATGAAGGTAGAACATGAAATGCAAACTGCTTGTAACTTACTGGTAGATTTTAATATCTAATTAGGTGGTGGAAAATGTGTAAGGTAGGTAAACTGATGCGCATCCTTCATTTCACAGTTTCTGCATCCCGCTAGCACCGGCATTGGAACATTTGCTTTGTATAGACTTATTTCTCCGTATCTTAGATGAAACAGTTGTGAAATGGAAATAAGAGATAAGTGTTTTCCTGTCCGGGTTATCTCGGGCCTGCCTTGTCCTAGTCACCGCCGTCCGTTAAATGGCGATTTTGTGGCCACGACGTGCAGGATCGCGAGAGCTCCGTGTTGAAATCCGAATGCTCGAATTTCTCCAGAAATAACTGGCTTTATAGTGAGGACAATGGGTTCCAGAGGCTGAGTTTAGCGCTCGTCAGCGAGTCACAGGCACAAGTATTCTCCCCTCCTTATTTGCAATTGCTTATTGAGTTGCGGTTTGCACCTCCGCTCGAGAGTATACGCTCCGGCCTGCCTCGCACCAGTGTCGGGCACAGGCCCTCACCAGGCGTTTGCTGAGCGATCTGCCGACGGCCGGTGCACCACGCACTTTGTACGGTTAATCTTGCCACCTCGACACTAGGTGGGGAAGAATTCTCACGTGGTTAGGGAGTAGAGGCAATCCAAGTGTAGAAAACTGTGTTGGGTAACCTCGACTTGAAGATTAGCCACTCCGTGCACCGGAGGAAAGACGACTGTCTTTCGTACCTCCCTCAGTGCAGTGCCTGTTCCTGTCGCAGCCCTTTCAGAAAGAGAGACGCCGAGCTTGGTCGGGGTCTGAGGGCCCAGGGTCAGGTGAATAGCCTGGGGTCCAGAGGCGCAGGTGGAGCTGCGCGCGCCGGTGCATCCCGGCTCCATACACAGAGCGACCAGTACGCGGCGCTGGCCCGGGATTGGGTGGTGGGGAGCGGCTGCGGATCACCTGCCACCAAGGGGCCGGCTTTCCCGCAGCCCCCGCTCCGCCCCCGCGCGCCAGCCCGCCTCCGGCCCAGTACACTCTCTGACCCGGGGGAGCCTGCGGAGCATTCGCCGCTGCGGGAGCGTCGGGTGCGGATCCCCGCGCCCCCCTCCGCGCAGCGCCGGGAGGCCCCGCCCGCCGCCGCCGCCGCCGCCACCCCCGTAGTGCAGCAGGGCCGCCTGCGCTCGGCACCCGGCGCCCGGCTCCTCCGCCCGGGTGTGGGCAGCGGCGGCCGCAGCGGCAGCAGGAGCATCAGCCCGGACAGCGCGCGGGGCGCCGGGCAAGCTGGCGGGAGCCATGGCCGATGCGGGCGAGGGCGAGGACGAAATCCAATTCTTGCGGACTGTAAGCGCGCCGCGCGTATCCCCCGGGAAGAACGCCGGGCAGCCCCAGGGGGTTCTGGATGGGGGGCCTACGTAGGGGGCGCAGCGGGGGGGCAGGCCCTCCCGTCGGTGCAGGTGTGCGTGCTGGGCGAGAGAGGCAGCCTGCGTGTCCGCGCGTGTGGACCGCGAGGCTCGGAGCGCGGCGGGCGGGGGCGCACGGGCTCAGTCCCGGGCACCTAGGACGGCGTCGCGGAGCAGGCGCTCCAGGGAGCAGGAGGGATCCGGTCTAGGCGGACGGGCCGGCGGACTGGGGGACCGTACTGGCAGCCGGGGGACGGGCAAGCCGTGTGGCCGTAGGCGTGGGGCCAGGGGTCTCGGGCTGTCGTTCTGGCCCCGAGCTCTCACGCACCCGGGATTCGCCCTCTTGGCGCAGCGAGCACCGCGGCCCCGGGAGGGGTGCAGAACGCTGCCGGAGGTTCCCCCCAGCCCAGGGGCTGCAAGGGGACAGGGTAGCCTGCGCGGTCCCCACGGTCCCAGGCTGGGCCGCGGTGCTGTGACCGCTGCGCTGGCACCGCTTGCGGAACGTGCCAGGGCCGGGAAGCCTGTGTGTGCGGAGGCGGGGGCCTCGCGGACGTGTCGTTCCCTAAATGCTGCTTTTCGCTGCCGAGCGCAGCAGTGTGTGCGTGCGTGTGTGCATGAGGGCAGGGGGCTGCCCGGAATTTTCACACCGGCGGCAGCCGCGAAAGGTGAGCTCCTCACTAGGACTGTGTTTTCTCCGTAAACGCCTTTTGGTACCGCTCCGTCCTCGTCGCTCCACGCTCGCCGCAGAGTCTTCCCGGGCGGGTGGAGGCAGTGCTCGCCTCAGCAGGGACCGTCGGCCTCTCCCTCGGTGCAGAGAATAACCTAGTTAGCGTGTGCTCGCCTTTCCCTCCACTCCAGCCTCCTCTCCGAAGGCTCGTTCCCCGGACAGGGCTCCCCCACCCCTTCCAGGACGGCAGCTTCTGCTGCTCTCTCTCTCCTCCGCGGAGAAAGACATGTCAACTCCCAGTTCCAGTCACCTCCACAATCACAGAAAGTCACAGAGGTATTTAGATTTTGAAACGTTAGCCGTACAGTAACTTTTAGGCGTGAAAATAGTCTGGATGGATTTGGATACTAAGCAACCGAAAACAGTCCATTTGTCCAAGAACATTGTAAGTCACTGTTTTTTCCTCTTATTTTTGGGGGGCACTCGTTTTTGTATTAAGTGGGGGACACAAGTTTTTGTATTTTGGGGGGCACTCGTTTTTTGTATTTGAAAAGCCTTTGAGAAAGGATGGAATCCAGGGTACACGTCAGACGCCGAACGATTTGAGCCCACGGCTGCCTGTCACGCAGCGTTACGGATGCGTTTGGAGGCGGTGCTGGCCCAGGGCTCGGCTGGGCAGACCCTGTCTGCCGAAGCCTTGCTCGTGGAGGGGGGGGGGGCATGTTAAGCCTACTAGGAATACAGTCTATCTTATTTTAGTTAGTGGAAAACTGCTTATAAGGTTTAAAAAAAAACATTAAAAGACACGTGAAAAGACGTTTCTTAGAACTACAAGATCTTTTATTCAGGTGGCAAAGTATGTAGTTGCTGCGTAATTTTTAAATTGATTTTCCCCAAACCCCATAGGGTTAGCAGTAGCTAGCACAGTTGGAAGGCTCCCTGCCCTGGAGGGCTTCCCACAGGCTTAGGCATAAGCCATGCCCAGGGAGGCCCTGTTCTCAGAACACCTAATGGGCGCTGAGGTCGTGCTGCCGCGGCTTCTGCACATATAAAGTAATGTTAAGTCCGAGCAGCAGACAGCTGCCCGTCAGCTGCACCCACACCTCTGATAAGGGGGTGCTGGGGCGAGACACGGCAGCCCGAGGCCGGGCTGGCTCTTCTCAGAAAGCTCAGCAGGTTGTTGGGCTGGTGCTGAGTGACCTTGACGGAGGTAGCCCAGGGGAGCTGGGGGCTTTTTGGGTATAACATGAACATCTAACAGGAAAACATGCCTTTCCTCCACACTTGACACTTTTAATATGGGTATTCTCAGATCCTCCTCCCACTGCCCTGCCCTCGCTCCCTGCTGTCCTGGTCTCTGGATCTGAGAGTGTTCGTGGTTGGGAAATGCTCACTGTTAGTGAGGCCGAGCCTGCAGGGCCTGCAGTAAACCCTCTGCGTTTTCTGGGGCATTTATTTCTCTGTTACTTGCAGTCTTGTCCATGGAGTTCTGTCCTCCCCTTCCCTTCCCTTCCCTTCCCTTCCCTTCCCTTCCCTTCCTTCCTTCCCTTCCCTTCCCTTCCCTTCCTTCCTTCCCTTCCCTTCCCCTCCCTTCCCTTCCCTTCCCCCTTCCCTTCCCTTCCCTTCCCTTCCCTTCCCTTCCCTTCCCTTCCCTCTTTTCTTTTTAAAAGCAGATTGCCTAGGGAGTATCAACAAGCTGTATGTTAGATAAAATAGCTATAGATTATCGATGAAGCTATTGTGCTTTAAAAAAGAAAATCAGTTAATTATTAAGGGGCAGTAATTGTGAACAGACATTTCATAGGTTCTAAAGCCTGCTCACAGTTACTGTCCCTTAACGATCTTACGAATTATCTTGGATTTTATTTGAGCACTACAGGTCACTGAGGCACTTTTGTCCATGGTCATTGTTTTACTTTTAAATTCAAAAATAGAGATTTATTTATTAAGATTTATTTGGTTGATATATAAAAATCACAAGTTGTTCCTCACTGAGGGAGAAAAAGAGGGAGAGAAGCATCTGTGTGTGCGTGCCTCTTGTGCGCCCCCTACTGGGGACCTGGCCTGCAACCCATGCATGTGCCCTGACTGGGAATCGAACTGGCAACCCTTTCATTCGCAGGTCAGCGCTCCGTCCACTAAGCCACACCAGCCAGGGCACTCACTTTTTTTTTTTTTTTAACACACATCAGTTCTTTGGAGGTTCCTCTATTCACCCCAACACTTTAAAAGCCACAGTTCTTTCTAGCGCCAGGAGGGACAGGTAAGGCAGCGAGGCGGTTCCTGGTCTCTCTGTGAGAGAACACACATGGTAGATGGTGTCTGAGGTTAGACAAGCTGTCCCGGAAGAAAATAATTATACAGAAGAGTGCAAATTCAGCCATTTCTGAGCAATTATTGGTGCCTGACAGCCTTAGATTAAAGGCCTCTTGGTCCTGGTCACCACAGGCTTGCCGGTTGCTTTTGGCTATACCACCCTGTCTGGGGGAGATGGTAAGGAGGGGGAGCGTCTGTGGGGACGGTGCTGCCAGCTGGGCTGCGCAGCTGTAGGCCAGCACTCACCAGTTTGTGTTTCTGTTTTCTAAGGCCCCACAGTGGGGTCCTGTGTGACTTCAAATCAAACTCCTCGTGGTCCTTAACGTGCCCGAGACATCGTCGATCCAGGTCCTTAGAAGGACGCGTGCTTATTTTAATGTGGGGTGGGTGACAGGGCTCCCCAGAGTTACGCTCTGCGCAGGGGGCAAACACAAGGCCTAGGGCTTGGTTTATTAGCAACATTACATGGTTTTCCCACTGACATGAGGGTAGAGTCAGTCTGTGCTGTTGCCGAATTCCAAGGTGATTCTGAAGTAGGATTGTCTTGTATTGCTGCATTAAGATAGACTTTTATCTTAATTGCCCAAAGCTGACTTTTAAAAAGCCAGGGCAGTCCCTGCAGACCCTGGCCAGACTCTGGGCCCCTGTGGGAAATGCAGGCCAGGGGCGCCCTGCCAGCTTGATTCCCAGTGATTTGGTTTGTCTGTTTTGGCAACTGGCTGCGTGCAGGACCGTGGGCGGCCGGCGTGCCCGCCCCGGGCACCCTGCACCGTGTGTGGGAGCTCCCCTTCATCTGGTGTGCCGCTCTTAGGTGACGTCAGTGGTGGCTGTGCAGTGACCAGGAGGAGGCAGCCCTTCTCCAGGCACTCCTCCTCATCACCTCCTGTCCCCTGGGGAGCACGTCCTGCAGGCCAGACTCACACGGCACCATGCACCGTGCTGCCTGGAAGATCTGCAGCCCCGGTGCTTCTCCAGGGTCACCTCCTAGGCCTTAGTGGCACTGGCACAGGGGAGGTTGGGTGATTCTTGTCCCGCTTCCCACCTGGAGGGAGACCTGGATGAAATGGAGGCCTCTTTTCAGCCACATCAGTGCCAGCGCGGCCCCTACTTCAGGCCGCTCTGCTCCATCCATTTCCTTCTCTGCCTCCAGGGTGTTCTGCAGGGTCCAGAATTTGGCCCGGTTGGTGTCAGACACCGCTTTGGTTGCCGTAACGTTGCCACTGTGTCCACCGTGGTGGGTGGACACAGTGGGGCCCAAAGCAATGGAAGAAGGGCAGCAGGTGGTGCACCACCCGAGGCAGGGCCACGTCTCGATCTGCTGGTCTGCAGGCAGTGCTTTCAGCAGGTGCCTGGCCAGCAGTGCCATTTCGGAGTCCAGGCCTGTGATGTGCCCCCAGCTGGCACCCCGGAATCCACGCCCCACCCCCCAATCGCCATTAGTGCTGGGGCTGGCACCGCCGCCCGCCGCAGAGTCTGGGGACGCCAGTGTCCCATGAGCATCGTTAATGGCTGTGCGCATGAGTTACGTGCACTGCTGTGAACTGATTCTCTGTCTGTGCAGGGGAGTTTAGCCTGTGCGCCATCTCTTTTCCAGAATGTAGTTCTGAGTTGGCTGATGTTTCTTTCACGTGGTTATGCAGAAGAACGCTGGCTCATCTTTGAGTCAGTGGCTTCCCCACCGGCTGGAGGCGTGCACACTCTCCAGGGAAATTGAGAGCTTGTTCGCGGGCACTCCGCGCGTGCTGGGACAGCTAGGAGAATGCCGCCCTGAAGCGCGCCCTCCGCCCGCAGTGGGTTTGTTCACTGTCACAGCCAAACTCACCCAGGATTGGGAAGCAATGTAGCAATGGACTGTGCTGTGCTGTTTAAACACATGGCTATTTTTAGTTACACTCCTCTTTTCCCCCCAAGCAACCTTAATGAAGTATGTAGAAGGAATTCCTTGACTTTAAGAAAAG